GCTTGGTGGCAACAACCCAAGGAGACGCGACGTGGGCTCGGCAAACCGAAGGTGACGACATGGTCAAAATTTTGGAAGCACCTCGAGCGTGAGTGACCGCACGTTGCGACGCGACAAATGAATTTATAGTTTTTCTAGACTAAACTCTACTAACTAGTAGTAGCAGCGAGCAAGAGTCGATTCCACGAGGTGTGTGAATCAAATTGTAAATTATCTCGTGTTAATTGAAATTCTAAAAACAATAAAAGATGGAAGTTTTTAATTTAATAACTAAACTAAATGAAATCTAAACAAGAAAATAAACTAAATAAAATAATAGAAATTTCTAGTTCATGGTTCCATTTACGCCCTCGCTCGACTAGTCTAATTAAATAATTGTGACGTCGAGATTCATTATCTTTTGAAATTACTAGCCTTATATAGCAACACGCTCGGCTACTCGAATTTTTTCTTACTGTTAATTTTTCCGAAAGTCACTCTTCGATTAATCACAACTTATTGGATAATCTAGAACACACTCTAAATTTAATGCAATATCCATTTTAGAATCTAGAAAAATAGACTACTCTATGTGGTAAACAGTAAACAATAACACAACCGTGCGGCTCACTTAACGAGGATGATGGAGAAAAAAATAAAGACCATAATTAATTTCAGTAATATTTGAAAAGAAATAAGCTTTAACATTTCTTTTATGTTTTGAACTTGGACTCTTCGAGTCCATGATTATGGCTAAATAACGGATATATCTCTACTTATTTTACTTTTCCCTTTATAAAACTTAGTAAATTTTACTACTGGTATATATAAGGATGTCATCAAGTATCCTTTTCTCATACTTCAAAACATTTTTTTAATTAACTTATATTACTGTTTGCAAAATGAAGAACAATCACCAACAGATCTTGAGCCTGGCTTTCTTGTTAATGCTTCTCTTATTAATTGGTTTTTTTTTTAAAAAAAAATCTAATTTATGTTTTCTAATTACATTGAGATGGTTAGATGGACTAAAATTTTGAATGAATATCTGGTATTTAAAAAAAAACGTAAAATCATATTTATGTGAAAATTGTGGATATTACTAGATGAATTATTTCACATATAATGTTTCAGAAAATGTTATAATTTCAAAAACATCATAGAAGTATAACATTTGAGAATATATCAAATACTAGTATATAAATTTGTTCCTATAGACATGTTAATTAAGTAACTGTTAGATCAATATATATTTCGCATAACAATTTATATATTTTTAAGTAGATAAAATAAAATGATTCTTAATTAAAATAAAAAAAATAAGAAAATCAATAAAATTTCGTTGTTATGAATAGTTTGGAAAATGAATTAGTAGTTGTTAAAGAAATGAAACAAAACCTTAATAAAAAAATCACAAACAAAAACTTATCATTTCTCCTATTTACATGATTCGAGCAACAATTTTTTTATATAAATTATAAATTTATTTGTGTTAATTAATTATTAATGTGGGCAGATAACACGAGAGTGGTGCAGAGTGTAAAGGAAACAAAACAGCTGCGGATGCAGAGGAGCAAAACTTATCTTGGGGTTTGTTCTGATGCGGCATAGTGCAAAAGGGTTTGTTTGGGTGAGGGATTCGTAGATGGGGCTTGTTTTGGAGATCGAAAACGTGTTTGTTTTTGTGCCAATTTTGAATATAGCAAAGAAGATTAAAATAGTACAAATTATAGCATGTTATGATCTAAAGGAAATTGAATAATAAAAATTTAATAAACAATTAATATATGCTGCTCTCTTTTACATATTTGATGTAAATTTTGTTGTTGCTTTTTTATACTCTTGCGTAACATTATGATCTTATGAAATGAAAGGGGTTAATTACAAAATTAAAAATACATATAGTAAGAATGCCAAAAAGATAAATAAATAATAAAATTTTACTTGTGATTTATCTACACCTGATTCACGAAATTTCATGTCTTCTTGCTTTATTTCTCATCTATGGCCTTTTTAGTATTATTGTAAGTAAATTGAGTGATATCTCTGAGTCTCTCTCAATTTATCCCATTTTTTAGTATTATTTGTCCTTTTATTTCTAAATAGTAAAGTGCACGTGGGATGCACGTGGTGGTGAATATTTTTTTGTCAATTAAGTGTAGTAAAATATGAGTGAAAGAATGAGATACCTTAACCCCTTTTAGAGCACCCACAATGCTTTGAGTCTCTTGAAAAAAATCACATGTCATGTAGGAAATAGATCTAGTTTATAAAAAAGTGTTTCACAATGCAATTAAAAATGGACCTAGTCTATCTTATGTGGCAATAAAAAAATAAAAAAGACCAAGTCCACACTTGAGTCTATTTTGAACCCAAGTACAAACTCAAACACTCATCATTTATTCCTAATTTAATTTTTCTTTTAATTAAGGAAACATATTAGAGCATTTTTATTGGTTGGCATGTATGCTAGACCTAGTATTTTATTTTTGCATTGAATAACTTTTGAGTTTTTTTACTTGGATTTGTCCATGTCATTTATAACTTAAGTCTATTTATATGCACATATGTAAAATTAGACCCAATGCATTGTGATTGCTCTTATAGGAGGGTGTGCCTTATGACCCAAGTTGGGCTTGTCCAATGCCATCATGCCACGTGTTCTAGTCCATGTGCAGGTTTATTCTCCAACATATTCCTTTATTCTCCAATGTATTCCTTTTTTATCCATTAAAATCGGACTAGTATAATATTCTATATCATCTAGTCCCCCACTCTGGTCGAGTAAGCATGACTCGATCCAAGAGTGAAATTAATTGGAGATCTTTGTTAGATCTATTTTTGGATCAAACACGTGTAACAAATACAACGGGTCATTATATTATTTAGCCAAATTAAGTGACCAAATTATTGTAATTGGCTAAGGAAGTACTTAATTTAGATTGTGGAATTATTTAATGTGTACATATGTAACAAATAATAATATTAAACTTAAGGACCTAAATAACAAATAATTTGGGCCAAATAAATATTGGACTGAGTCCCCAAAAGCCGTGAAATTAAGTGAGGCCATTGGGATTCTTTATAAGAGATAAAAAGAAACCGCAACCTCTTAGGGCTTGATTGTTTACAAATTATTTTACTTACTTTCATTCCAACTCAAAATCTAACTTAACTTTAACTCAATCTCACTATCTTTAATATTATTCATATAATTAAAGAATACAAACCAATCATCCTTACACATCACATCAACTTTAATTCACTATTTATTCACTCACATAATTTTAACTACTTATCATTTCCAATCATTACTCTCTTACTTTTACTTCAGATCAATTTTAATCATTTTATTTTAACTATTATTTTAATACATTCTTAAAATTCCACTAACAACTAACCACACACTTTTTTTTTTTCAAAATTAACTATGGTTAACCAAAACAACTCATATTGAACAACTTATTTCATATTAGTTGTGTGATGTGTGTTTCTATTCTAGCGTGGCTAGCGAGGATCTAGACGGTCATTCGATCCGTCCTCCCAGTTTCTAGTTCTGGGTTGTATTATTCAGCCTTGGGCTGCTTTCTTGCACAATTGTGCGTTTTGATATATAATATCTCTATCGTTTCGGCAAAAAAAAAAAAAACAACTTATTTCATAAACAATCAAGCCTTTAACCTCTTCATTCAGTTTCTTTTGTAAGTCAGAAGAGAAGAGATACAGTCACGGTCTTTTGAAAGTTCTCTAAAATCCCAAATCCTCAATCAAATTCAAGTTCGAACCAAATCAATCAACATGAATCCATCAGGTACACTTCCGCTCTTCAGTTTGATTCTCGATTATTCAATATGCACGCTCTTGGGATTAAGCGATTCAACCACATACGGTTAAATCCAATCTCTTCTTACATTTGTAACTGCACGACAATGAGTTATATAGTTTTTTTTTTTTTTTTTCTTACTGAGTGTCGACGTGTGATTTCTCCGACTGGACCATTGAAACGATGTTGTGTTAACTAGATTATGATTTAACATTTTAATGGAGTTTAGCATAAAAATAACAAATATGGCAAAAGGGTGCATAAATTGTATTACAATGAAATAAGGTGCCTGCACCGGACCATTTAATTTATGAACTGGGTCGCTCTCGAGCCTCTTTTATACAAGAGCCTTTCGGAGCCTAGGGAAAAACAAGGAACTAACGAGATATATCTTGAGAAACAATAGATAATTGAAAACTTATAGTGTAGAAATTGATATATAGTGGAAATATGTAAAAATTGACGTGAGACGTAGAAATTTATGTTTTGAAGTATCAAGATCTCTCTAGTTATAGAAGGGGATCTTTAAAGTATAATATGTCTGGGACGCCTGATAGCTTATGAGAGCTTAGCTGCTTGCATGATGACATGTGTCTTGACAACTTGCAAGCAAGTTGCCTAGACATGGCCAGGTGCCGGGTTTTGGCCCGGCCCGGCCCGACCCGGCGGGCCACGGGCCAACCAACCCACGAACCGCAACCGGCCCGCCAAAAAGTAAGGGCTGGTTCATAGAACCGGCCCGAACCGCCGGTTCACCGGCCCGGCGGTTCGGCCCGGGTTCGGCCCTTAAAAAAAATCAAAGGATTGGCCCGGCCCGGCCCGACCCGGCGGGACAAAACAAAAAAAACCGTGACCCTTAACCGGACCGGATTGGCCGCGGTCCGGTTCTCGAACCCGGCACTGTTCATGCCGGTATCGGTACCGGGCCGGGCCGGGCCGGTACCGGGTCACGGGTCGGGCCACGGGCCGGGCCGCCCGTGGCCATGTCTAAAGTTGCCCAAGAGCTTATCCTTTTGGGGGGGTGAGAATTGGTTTGGACGACAACTCCTTTCACATTAGAGCAGGAATGAGAGCGACAAGGGCGAGGCCTTGCTTCCGGTAAATGTCGGCATGGTTACCCTGTAACTTGGAACAAGGTCGACATATATATAGGACGGAGATGTCTCATGCATCCTGGCTAAAATGCTTCTCGATATCGTGGCTTCGAGAATGTCGTCAGTATTAATTGCGTCTTAGTGGGCTTGATTAGGTCGACAAATTTTGAGTATCAAGAGTAAGATATTACCTAGAAAAATAGATTAGGCTTGATAAATTCCATAACCTATTTTCATTGTGTGAGTTCCTTAAGGATTTTCAAGAGAGGAAGGACACAGTGTTAATTTTCGGACAAAATTCTATAGAATTTGTTTGAGCATTGTTTTCAAATATTATTTTATAAAGCATTCTTGAGAAAAAAAAAATATTAAATAAAATGAGTATTATTGAGTGTCTTTTTTTTTATTGTTTGTTTGTTTTTGTTTTTATTTTAGTTTTTGACAATCTATACTATAAAATCTCATATTTCTTATAAAAATATACATGCTATGAAATCTCATAGTTTTAAAAATAGCTCAAAAAGATGCTACAGTCCCGTTACGGAATCATTCCGTCGGAGTTTGTAACAGTTAGATCATCATGCAACCGTCGAGGATAATTGGTCTAACGGTTACAAAACTCCGATAGAATAGTTGCGTAACGGGACCGTAGTATTTTCCTATAGTTCAGGAGCCAAGTATTTGGCTTGTTCCGTGTTTATTTTGCCCATTAGCACTCCATATATAACTTACCAGAGAGTTTGGTTGAGGATTTGAAGTTGAACAAATTATTTGGCTGCTTCCTTGTTTATTTTGGCCATCACCACTCCAAAAACGATCAGTTTATGACACACGGACACGGACCTTCAATTGGTCCATGTGGGGGGGGCGAGGCTCTTTATGGTGGCCACAATACATACAGTTCATATCATACAAACCAAACAAGTTGGTGTATCTAATCTAATAACAATAATGTCCAATTCAAATTTAAGTAAATACGAATGGGTCTTTCTTTTTTACTAGTAGATATCATGTGCACATGCACAGATGTACATAAAATATTATTAAGTAATATTTGAGAATTTAATATTTAAATTCTAGATAATGAACATATTACATTTTCAAAAATTTGATCATTATGAAAAATAAACTAACGATTTTATTATTATGAACAAATGTTTATTATCATTGGATAATAACAGTTTGATTATTATTATTATTATCATTATTATTATTATTATTATTATTATTATTAAAATAATTGTTTATAAGCTTTTAAAGTTGTTTGACTATGCTATTAAAACAATTTACTAATTATTTTTAAAGAAATTTTTTCATGAGAAAAGAAAAACATAATATTGATGTTAATATAAATAACTTGAAACAATTGTTTATAATTATGTAATTTATATTTATTGTGAATTATTATTAGTTGGTATTAGCAATAACTATTATATAATATAATAGAAAAATATATGATTACACTCATTAAGATGCATTAATGTAAAAAATAAAAAATATTAATGACAAATTTTGTAATAAAAAATGGAGGGAAAATTTTAAAGATTTTATTAAATGTTTTATTAAATGCTACATGCCAGCAATTATATATATATAGATTATTATTATTATTATTCTCAGCACCTGGTTTCCTTTATACATTGTATAGCGACAAATAATAATAATAATAATAATAATAATAATAATAATAATAATAATAATAATAATAATAAATTCAACGTTAGGTAAAAAGTAAACTAAAATACTAAAATATGGTGAAGGGTCAGAACGAGGTTCATGGGTTCATAGTAGTCTTGTCCGGGCTACGAAGGAGCTACTTGATCGAGATTGGACCGTGGATATAAGGCACGTCTACCGTGAATCAAACTTTTCGGCTGACTACTTGGCTTCGTTAGCGGCGATGGGCCCTGGCGGCTTGCAATATCTAGAATTCCCGCCGGCGGATTTGAAACCATGACTCGAACATGATGTTTTGGGGGTAGCCTGCCCTCGTATGATTATGTCTTGAGTCCCTCCCTCCTCTTGTACCAAAAAAATACTAAAATATGAAATGTTGTTTCTAGTAATGTGTGGAGACTGCAAATTAAACTACACATTACTCTCAGTCCCTCAAATTATATATATATCATTCGCTCACACATATCGGCAAGAAAAGCATAATAAGAAACCATTTGATAACTAAGCAAAAACCCAAAAAAAAAAGTTTAATCTGTTGAACAAATAGTCTCGTCAATGGCGGCGTCACTAGAAACGGAGCATCCAGTGAAGGCTCTTGCTTGGGCTGCTGAGGACCCATCTGGGGTATTCGCTCCTCTCAACTTTTCTAGAAGGTTTTGGTTTCTATTTATTTGTTTATTTAAATCTTTCGTGATTTCAATCTGTAGTTAGCTTGATTGTCCTGTTCTTTTGTGATGGGTGCTTGCTATTTATTTGAATTATTTATTTGAATTACTCAAGTAAAACTAAGTCCAGTTTTACCAAAACCAAAATTTTAAACTTTGCATTAATATGAAATCACAACTCTTCCAATTCATGATTATCGATTTGAGTTTAACAAAAATTGTTGTACGAAGAAGGCGGAAAGATTCAACCAGTCGACTTGGTTTTTAAAATATGATATTTTGATTTGGAAGTATGTATATATGTTGAAAAAAAGTATATTTGTTTGAATTGTTGGAGGGATATATTCACAATACGTATACTAACGTAATTACTTTATTAAATTAACAAAGCAATTGCACAAACATAATCAAGATACAATCACTTCACTTATAACCAAACACCTAACTATGACACTCACGCACTCTCACTTGGATGCTTGGGATGGTGTACAAATAAGGTGGCTCCTCCTCCACTCCTAGAGAGCACTCTAGATCCTACAATATTCTACAATCTTCTTCAAGCGTCTAGTTCATTATAGAGACTTCTATGTTCTTCCACTTTCTTTCATTTTTTCCTACCCATCTACAACTTTCTGGGACCTACCACATTTTTCTGGAGCATTCTAGATGCTACCGGAACCTACCACAATGTTCCATGATGTTCCACAATTTTCCGAATTGTTCTAGATGCTTCCGGAACCTCCCATAATGTTTCAGAACATTCTCTAAGCTTCCGACAATTTGTACAAGCATCCAGGACCTTCTCAAAAGAAGGTGTTGATATTTTAACATGAACATTAGATATGTCTAACATCAATTTTAATGTTAAGTGTTTTAGGCCGCATTATAATGTTTGTTGTAAACTAATATATTGCAGGGCAACTGGTGATCGTGATGTGCAATTCAAAGTATTGTACTGTGGCATTTGCCATTCAGACCTTCATTTGGCCAAGAACGAGTGGGGAAACACTATTTACCCTTTGATTCCAGGGTAATTTTCAATCTTTCAACTCTTCTTTTATTTGTACAAATATTTATCCTCATATATACCAATTCCACTATAATTAATTCAGTCATGAGATTGTTGGGGTCGTAACCGAAGTTGGCTCCAAGGTCGAAAAAGTCAAAGTCGGGGACAAGGTTGGGGTCGGTTGCCTGGTGGGGTCGTGCCGCACGTGCGATGAGTGCGTGAAAAACGAGGAGAGCTACTGCCCGAAACAAGTGCTCTCGATCAACGCGCGCTATTACGACGGCACGGTTACCTACGGGGGCTTCTCGAACCTCATGGTGGTCGACGAGAATTTCGTCATCCACTGGCCGGAGGGTCTGCCGCTTGATGCCGGTGCCCCGCTCCTCTGTGCCGGGATCACGACGTACAGCCCGTTGAAGAGGTTCGGGCTTGACCGGCCCGGAGCAAGTGTTGGCGTGGTTGGGCTTGGTGGAATCGGGCATTTGACGGTGAAGTTTGCAAAGGCGTTGGGGAGTAAGGTGACGGTCATCAGTACATCGTCAAGCAAGAAGAAAGAGGCAATCGAGACTTTTGGGGCCGACGAATTCTTGGTTAGCCATGACCAAGACCAAATGCAGGTATATTTTTTCTTTTTAAGGGTCTTAATCCAACACTAGCCTGTTGGACCAAGTGGCTCTAGCCAAGTAGGCTCGCTTTTTGTTT